CTCTGAGTTCAAGCATTCTGTGGTTTTAAATGTACATGCAGAACTGTAAAGCAGAACTTATCTACAAATGTATAACCTAGTGAGTCACCCTATCGCTATGACAGCGATTGCCTACATTTACACTGAGAAGTGTAAATTCGTTCCCACTCACACCTAGTTATATCCTGCGCAAGATGCATTTTGCCTATGACATGACAAGACTCAAGATTTTTCCTCTTTCATGTTAACCGTCTCTGAGCAAGAGGAGGTTAAGGTACACTACAAATAATATTACTGCATTACTGAAAAAGGGATTGTGGAATAGCAACCCACAGTTTCTTCACTGTAAGGACTCGGCCAAATCACTTTTGTTTTCTGGATGAAGCAAGCAAAGAGCAAAATGAATACCTAAGCGGGCATAGCCAGCTTATCATGAAATATCCTTAAAAAGTTTCCCACTCTGCTGCTGCCTCCAAACCCTCGTTGCTGTCCCACAGCCCAGCATGCTGCTCTGTCCAGAGACTTGCATTTACTTGGACCAGTTCATTTACCCACTTACAGCGCTGCTTTTCCAACAGCTTGCATGGCCATAATTTGAAGGGCAGCGTACAAAGGCACGAGGATAGAAACTCCTTAAGCCAGCAGTGTTATTAAGGTTGCAGTATAATGAGACTATGGCCTAAGTAACTTGCCTAAAACTGCACTCCACGTCAAAGGAAGATGTCCAGAAACTGAGCTTAATGCTCCATGGCATGCCTGCACTCTAATTTAAACATGACAGGGCAAGTTCACTGCCCAAGGACCAACGGGCACAGGCCAACCTACACCTGTGATCATGAACTCGTTGTCCCCAAAACGGAGTGGCCTTGTCCTAGCTTCAAACAAGGTTGTACAGGCCGGAACAGAGGAAATACCCTACAGGCTTTTGAGTCTGCTCACTTCCATACCTCATGTATTCTTCCTCACCTTATGATACATCATCACAGCGATGCAATGATGACTTTTTGAAGCATTTAAAGAGAGTCGTTTTCCCTGTGTCTTCAGACAGTCATTAAAACCATCCACAGTGGCACACGTCCTGCATGTCAAAGCTGAGGCTCCTGAAGTCTCTGCTACTGCCACTTTTCAGGCTCATGTTCATTGTGGCCAACTTCCAACTCTTTCTGAAAAGCACTGGGGCTAACCCAAGCGCATGTCACAGAGGCGAGCAGAGCCACTGCTCACCAGAGACACTGCCCTGTGCAGTTGAGCTCCTGCTTCTGGGAAATGAGGTGGGAAAAGAAACTGGTGTTGGAGCTCAGCCATGCTAGTTCATGCCAAGGGTCTGCAGTGAGGCATTTTTTTCACCTAAAGGGAAGAAATGAAAAGAACTGCCAGTGCTGTGGAAAATTTTCACTTTTTCTTACCAACACAGTGCACCCTATCCTGATAAAACCCCAAGGTTATAGACACTCTTTTAAGAAGACTGGCATGGGCCACAAAGATGATCAGAGGGCTGGAGCACCTCTCCTATGAGGAGAGGCTGAGAGAGTTGGGGCTGTTCAGCCTGGAGAAGAGAAGGCTCCGGTGAGCCCTTATTGCGGCCTTCCAGTACCTAAACAGGGCCTACAGGAGAGCTGGGGAAAGGACTTTTTACAAGGGCATGTAGTGATAGGATGAGGGGGAATGGCTTTAAACTGGAAGAGGGGAGAGTTAGATTAGATATTAGGAAGAAATTTTTCACTGTGAGGGTGATGAGACACTGGAACAAGGTGCCCAGAGAAGTTGTTGAGGCCCCATCCCTGGGGGTGTTCAAGGCCAGGCTGGATAGGGCTTTGAGCAACCTGGTCTAGTGGGAGGTGTCCCTGCCTATAGCAGGGAGGTTGGAACTCGATCATCTTTAAGGTGCCTTCCAACCTGACCCATCCGATGAGAGAGTAGTATATTATTTGAATGTGAATATTATGAGTTCCATTTTTCTATTATGCACTTCCATAACACTTTCTCAGCCTTCATTGCACCTTAACATGAGGAATAGTCTCACTTTAAGATCATCATGTCTTTAGCTCTCATTGCAAACTTCACTCCCTTATAAGCTTTGCTGCACATTTCTAGCCAAGATCACATGTTTTGGATGCAACAGTTAAGGATGTCAGTATGAAAAGTTCCCCCCTCCTCATAACCATTATTTACAATATTAAAGAAGGCTTGCAACTCTTTTCTTGGGATTGTTTAAGCCATAGATAATCGTTCTCCATTAGCCAACACGCAATGCTTGCATTTGATTCATTTTCCATGCACTGCTTGAGACTGCGAAGCTAAGTGAGCAACTCAAGGTCTTATTTCTAACATGTCTTAGCATTTAGATTTCTGACAACTAAAGCTGACACAGAGTTATGGCCCACGGAAAGAACCCCGCGCTTCGGCATTATGCTTGAATTGCAGGTGCTCTCCCCAAACTAAAACTCAACACAGATTCACATGAATGCACTGACAGCTTTCCTGTTAAAGAGAGACCACTTAAATTCTAACAACATACAATGCAAAGGGTAAAAATATAAATATACTATGTTCAGGTCAAGATTCATATCTGCACTTAAATTCTGTTCTAAAAATCAAGTATTACTTACCCTCACCCAACTAGAAATCCTTCTATTTTAATCATGACAATGTGATACAAGAAGCTTTGAGCTACTTAAAGCTCCATTCCAGAGTATTTTTCATATTGTGGTACACCTGTCTGTCAGCGGCACTCAACAGAACAATACTTCTGCTTACCTTTTAGAAAATACTTCCTCTTCTCCTTCAACCCACTTTGAAAGCGTTTTGATACTTCCTACTTCACAGCAGTATCAGATAAATCTTAAAAAGTTAACACCACAATATATTGCACCATCTTTTGCAAGCCGTGGTATTTGGGATGTGACTGAAGCGTTTGGGGATTTCCTAAGTAAGCCACAAAGAACAAATATATGCATTCCTTCTGCATTTGTTTTTTAAAAAAGTATGTATTTTTTAAAAGATGGAGAAGGGGAAAGATATGCACCATCCTATTGCCATCTCAAGGTTTAAGTCAATTCTCAAGTGTTTTTTATTTGCATAAAGCATAATTTTGCATGAAGGTACAGCATAATTTATAATTATTTTCTCCACTGAGGCTTGGACACAGCTATTAAATGATAAATCTACTGAAGGCAATTAATCTTTCTCCAGCTCAGGAGCAACTAACGCATTGCCAAGGACTTGTCTGGGCCCACAAGTATTTCTCCCATCTTCTGTATACCACTAAATACCCTCAAATTTAATTTTTGTAGAGACTGAAAAGAAGGAAGCCTGAGCTTTCTTTCACTTTATGTAAAAGGAGATCTCTTACTTCAAAGGGGAATTCTGTTCCTAGAAACTAAAGTTTCTACACAGACCACCTACATTCCTTCCCCTACTTGAGATGCAGTCTACCATAGGACCACATTTTTCTATAATTCCTCCTTTCTAACAAGTGTTCTGTTTAGGGACAGGAAAGTTATGCCGACGCTTGAAGATTTAAATGTTTGTTAACAAAAAGAATCTCCAAAAATGTCTTACAAAAACACACTGATGTTTTGATAGATTCTAAGTGTTTGGGGTTGGGGTTTTTTTTGTTGTTGTTTTTTTTCTTTCTTTTTGCAGGGTCTGCTTTTAGAAAATATTACCTAATAAATTTTAACATAGACCTGAGGACAACAGCATATGTTTGGTGCATTGTGTGATCCTGAAAAAAGTGCTAAATAGAAGCAGCTCAACTGGCTTGATGTGCAAAGCTAAGATCAAAACCGACATATTTTTCAAAAGCAAAGAGGAAATAAACAAAATTAGCCATTGACCATCCAAAACACCAGTCTGCATTTCAATTTTTAATGTACAGTGTACTGTCAGGACATTCAGATAAATTCTTTCAGAGAAGCATACTAAAAGGAAAGTAAAGATTAACTAAAAAGTTACAGTCTGTTCTAAGTCAAAATGACTCAATGATAAAGTAAAGAGATACAAATTTCTTTTGGAAGGACAAACTCCCACTAGCTATGAAGGTATGTTGCATGTAGATCATCCGTATCAAAACATAAGACACAGATCTGAGAATACAGGGCCCTGCTCCATTCCTTTCTCCCATTCCCATTTCTCCTGCCTATGCATTTTATTCCTCTTCATGCGTCAACCTTAGCGCTTACCAAAGTTTCAACCTCTTAACTCGAGACAGCCTAAAACCACCCACCATTTTGGTCAGGACAGTCATTAACCCAGCTGAAGACTACACCAACCTAGCAATAGGGGCTGCAACGAAAGTGAAGCGAGAAGCACACACTAGAAAAGCAAAACTGCTTCCCATACAAATAAGCTGTGAAGCTATGAACACGTTCAGTGATGTTTTCTCTCTAATCTACGCTTATGGGGAAACTCGGCTACAAAGCAATACTATTCCTCTCATTAGTAGTCGTCTTAAAGATTTCCCCGCCTCTCTTCAAAGGACCTTCTAGATCTCTCAGGTTTTATAGTTAAAAGCCACAATACTCCATTCAAAAATGCTCTATGTAAAATACTTGTGGTCTATTTACCCTTGCTAAACAACTGCAAACATTTCTGTACTCCTTGGTGTATAAGCAGAAGGACGTTTGCTAGCAACAGAAGAGCTCACATCAGCTGCTAAATGGTGCTTTACGTCAGTAAATTGATATATAGGATAGTAGCAGTAATTCTTTAGAATGGTTAAAATTTCAGAAATCAGAAGAAGAATTGTTTCGGGAATGCCTACACTGCCATTCAACAAAATATTTTCAAAATTGTCTTTGTTGGTTACAGCAATATAATATGCAACAGCTTCGTATGATTCGATCTGTTCGCAATGCACTCGGTGATGCAAAGAGCAGCAGAACAATGCTTTGCTCCCTGAGAAGATTTGAGAGCCAGAACCACTCTGTCACAGTATAATACAACCTGAAACATCTGTAGTTTCATGAGATTTTAACAACTTAAGGGAAGTACATTGCTTTTTCACCCTTTTCACCGACTTGAGCTTTTGTCCGTGATCAGAACAGCTCTCCACCCTCCCACTCCTCCAAGTACAACTGCTTCTTCAAACATGCTGACGAAAGAGGAACAGGTAAATTAATTCTGGGCCAGAACAGAGAAAGCTAAACCTTTTACTTAAACACTTCATGAAAATTAAGCACTTCTGTGCCGTCTTCAACACATCAGATCTACCAGAGTGTAATCATTCCATCCTTTAAGCAGTGAGCACCACAGCGTGGACAGTACCTGTTAAACCAGCCTGGGTAAATAATGAGGCAGTACGAGTTTGCACACGTCCAAGTGTCAAGGTCACTCAAGTTCTTCCAGGAGGAGATGTACACTAGAACAGTCTGCCTCACGCTGCTTTTGCTACTGAAACTCTTGTAAGAATTTGAGAGTATGCTAATGCAATGAACTGGTATTTTAAAATTTCTTTTTCAGAAATGCATTCATTCTGTACTGCTAGGATGCTCATTAAATAAAAGACAAGTAAACATTAGCTCCCACATCTAGAGAGTATTTTCAAAATACTGACAAGAATGTATCAGACAGGATGAACTAATTTTTCTTTTTAAAAGCTACCAGCTGCATTTCTATACTGCGTTGCTTGGGGCCTAAAGTACGCTTACAACGAGTGTCCCAGGAAACATCGCCTCCTACACAATGTATAATATCTAAGCTTAAACCAGTGCAAATTAAGCAAAGGAAACAAGCTCTTTTAAATGTTTTATTACAGAAAAACAAAAGGCTTACACTTGACTTAAAAAAGCAGCATTATTTCATGAATTCAATCTTATTACAGTGAAGTTGCTTTAAGAAACCTTTTAAAGACTGAAGAAAAAAAATAAAATGCCAGATCCCCCTCAGACAGCGTTCCAGATTACTTGCACGATCAGAGCAAAACCCTTAATTTCACATCACTGCTGACACCCAGTATATGACTTGTATGCTTTTCTTCTCCCTTTGTCTCGTTTAATATAACTGGGAGAAGGATTCCGTGAAAATGGCAGTACATTTCAAGTTTAATTTTCAACAGTTCAGTACACATCTAATTGATATTAAAATTCAGAAGTGACTGACATACATGCTTTCTTCCTAACTGTAGGAGTTAAATGTTACAGTTTTAAGGGATCCTAGTGTGACCTGTTTCTTACACAGTATTTATCATATCCAGGTCTGCATCTCAGAATATTTCTCAGCAAGTTATTTGGCTACTACCGATTATAAACACAAGAATATCCTCAAAAATGAAAGCTCATAGTTGAAACAGTTCTTTGCAGTGCAGCGTAATTCAGAATGATTTTCTGTTTTTATTACACACCATAGACAGAACAGCAGTGTTCCAGTGACCACTTCAGTTTTTTTCTTAAGTCAAAAGCTGCACATTTCCAGCCTGAGCCAAAATTAAGTAAGTAATCGATCTGTATTTGAAATCTTAACAAAAGAGATGAACCAAGAAAACATATTACTGCCTTAAGAGTCCTACATTTTGGCTATCAGCACTGAGTCGTGCTAAAGTCCAAAGAAATTTACAGGCTTGTCATTACACGATGATTTATTTTTTTAAAAACAACTCAAGATTCTACACCATGTTTAAACACATTTTTAAGCATCTCACTCTTCAAATATATACTAAAACTATGCTGCAAATATTCTGCCAAAAAAAAAAAAACAGAGCAAAAAAACCTCAAGACACCATGTACAAGTAGCTATGATAAAAATGAAAAAAGGCAATTCATAAAAGAAAAAAGGAGGAAAAAAAAGAGAAAAAAAAAAAACATCAGACACTTGCTACTCAGTATTCTATGAACTCATTTTTTTCCTCTCCTCCCAAAAGGAAAAAGGTTGGACTCAAAATCAGACATGGAATTTTTCTGAAAAAAATTCCTAATCTCTTTAGATACTGTCTATACAGTATGATAACAAAAGTCAGGCATCTACTTACTGTATTCTGCACTGCAACATAAAGCCAGCTGTTACCAAGCTACTTAAACAGAAGAAACAAGTTTCTTTCCTACAAGGAAAAAGGATGCAATACAATTTCCCTGGTTATGATTTATATCATTATCAGGTTTACTCAAACACAAAACTTGTCTACTTAGGCTTACCCTTTTTTTTAAATTAAAATTCCTAAATTTAGTGCTATAGCATAGTAATTTCTTATGTGATCAAGCTGCCTTATAAGGAGGACATTATAATCTGTATTATACAGTAATATAGCCTTAAAAACAAAACAAAACAAAACACAGCATGAATACTAAGAGGAAGAGCAATGTAAGTTTTTTCTCTGTAGTATTCTCTGTGACATCAATGCCAAAGGCTGCTTTACAGCAGCAGCTTTATATCCTTGGAAATTTTAACCCTGGACACAAATTAGTCCTTTTCACACTTTTTTTCAGGTGACTTATGAATAAACAGGTAACAAAAATGCATTATACTGACCAATATCTACAAATGTTAGTATTATGCTCCATTAACTCCCTCCTTCAGAGCAGGTAACAGTCTCAAACAAAAGTATCAACACCAACTACTTCAAAGATATATAACAATCTGAATTGAACACTGTAAAACAAGTATACACCATTCAAAAAGCTTGTCATTAGAGAGTTATGCAAAATAGTCAGAGGGAGTTTATATTTACGTCTTCCTTTATCAAATTGTACTGTGGATTCAGAAAACTTTAAAGATTGTTTGCACTACATGTTTGTGTAAGCGCTCATACAAGACAATTTAATAGGCAATCACGTTCTGAAAGGTTTATAATGTAGTTTTTCAATACTTTTAGCTGCTAAAGCACTAATGAAGACTTAATTTAGCATATACCTCCCATATCCTCTATCAAGTAAACATTCCTGACTGCCAATAATTATTTTATTACACAGTAAACCAGTCCTATAATTCCTAACAATTTACATTTAATTTGAGAAAATAGAAAAGTTGGTGTTTTTTTTCCAAAATAATGTGCAACAGGTAGGACACGTGACTTCTTGGAAAACTCTAAGTTGTCTTTAGCTATCAGGGTCTGAAAGACTTCACAGATCTCAAACTTTCTTAGTTTTCAGCCTTAATTTTATATGAATGAGTAGTTCATAGTAGTAGTTCATCACACACACTAAGGTCAAGTAACATTATCTTTATCTCACTGTTCTGCAAATGAACAATCCAAAACTCTTCAACAAAACCAGTGTAGAATTGTACCTGCAAATTCCTTCAGTTTAAATTGCTCTTTGTTAATCTATTAAAGACAATTAAGAGAACATCTTTTTTTTTTTTTCCTGTCAATTTCTGAGAAAATTTGAATACATGCAAGTCAAAACTACCATAATGCAGACAAAAAGGTCCTCTTTCATGAATATCATCAATAAATGACTACCTTCAATAAATAAGTCTATTTGGAAATTCTAGAGAATTCTTTTGCTAAACAAGTTAGTCTTTTTTCTTTTCTATGATGTCTTTCTGTTTGAGCTCCTCATCTGAAAGTTCTGTATATTTTCCGTTCTTTTCCTCCTCTTGTTCTTCCTCACTGCCTTCATCTGTGAGCTCCCGATCAACGTTTTCCTTTTTAGCTGCCTCATGTTCATCTACCCCTCCATCTGTATCAGCTGTGCAGATTCCATAACACATAATGCTGATGACCCCCAGGGGCAACCCAAAGAGAAAGCATCCCAGAAGTGGTGAACTCTTGAACACAGACTGTTGAAACACAAATTGAAAGTAAAAAACACTTTAAGTGAATATACAAAATTACTGCATTACTTCTCTTACTACTCTGTGTGTTTATTCAGTAACACCCAAAATGAGAGACAGGTTTTGTTGGGTTGTTTCGTAGTTTTTGTCTGCTTGTTTATTTTGTTGGGGTTTTTTTTGTTTTTTTTTTGTTTTCCCCAGAAAGAAGGAGGAGTCCTCATTTTAACCATTACTACCATAAGTTCATTAAAAAAGTCTTAGAACTTCAAATACTACAATGTTGCATTGGGATGTTAACATGCCAACCATATACTCCATTCATTGTTTGAAGCTTGAGAAACAATTGTTCTAATAGTGCTAAAATAACACTTTGAGGAAACCTGTTCCATCTCTTATTTGTGTCTCATTCTCAAAAATTAGTTTGAGCAATAAGGGATCCGCAGAAACATTCTGTTATTAGACAACTTCCTACTGAAGGTTGCTTTAGTGGCACAGAAGGAAAGACTTTTGGTTTCAGAAACTGATGGCTAAATGTTGAACATTCACAGAAGTTTAGAAGCTACTCACACAGAAACATATGAGTTTCAATTTAAACTCACAGCACAGGTTTTTTTTTTTACTTGTGTAGGACAAGTGAAGAAATGGATTTGTGTACATCTTCCCAACAAAATTCTGTAAAGCATAACTAACCTACAAGAAAGATAATAAAAATATTTGCCTCAAAACTACATCATGTGTAGTATTTAATCCCATTATGCCCTAACTAATTAGACTGAAATCATAACATTTCTCAGAAGATTAAATGGCTATTGATTTCATTGAAAGGATGTCAAAAGGGTCACGGAAAAGATTTTGAATTCTCCCTGTTCTATGCCTTAAAATACATGTCAGGAGTAAAAGTAAAAAGGAGTGAAAAATGAAAAAACTAACACATGTTGAATATTTACCAGACTGGAAAATATCATTAAAAACTTTAATCAAGCAGTTCCTTTAGCTTAAACCTAATGTATATATACCAATAATATATACACTATATATAATATAAACAAATTATATAAAAATATTTCTAAATCCTCTGAAACAATTTGCATCTTGATTGACAATGGTACCATCTAACAAAAAATAAAACTTACCACAACAGTAGACTTGGCATCATAGATTATTCTCTTGATTCGCTGTAGAAGTCCATCACCACCCTGTGCCTGAAATTTCAAATGGAACCATGTCAAAACTGCTGACACTTTTCAGTTATGATTCCAAAAGTTCATTCTTCAGACCTTGCAATCTTAAGTCCCTTTAGAAGGAAATGAAAAGTAATTATTCTTGCATCTCATGATGCCCAGACACTCCAACTTCTCAAGCATGGATAAACATTTCAATATTCT